TCTGGTGACAGTGTTAATGCTTTGTTAAACATTAGAAGTCAGACACTGTTATGTATATGGATCAAGTAAGAGCTCCTACTGGAATTAATTTGGAATATTATTTAAATTGGAAAGAGATTGGATTAGAGTTAGAGGTCGAATTGGTATCCTTTGGTAAATTACTCAGGGGTCAAGTAAGTGCTCCTATATAAGGGCTGATTCTAGGAATAGAAATTGACCTATCGAGTACTTAAAAAAAAGGGCAACCTGGTGCATGTAGCTCCCGCTTGCGCAGGGTCCAGGGAAGGGTCCGACCACTTTGGGTCTATAGTACGCAGCCTTTCCCTACATTTCTGTAAGAGGCTGTTTCCAGGACTTGAACCCATGACCTCATGGTCACTCTTCGACAACGAAATCCATGAGGACCTCAGCACTGTGTTGTTGGGGCGCCTCACAATCTTGCTTCTGAATTACATAGGTAATGGTGGAATAGTTAAGTATATTCCGGATGTGGTTTGAGCAGACTGTTATGTAGGTTGCTGGTGAGGAGATAAGTGTATGTCTTTCTGATGTCAAGAAGTAAAAAGGGGGAAAACTCCTAAATGACAACTTGAAGGTTGTTGTGAGTTTATATTTTATCAATCTGTCATCTCCCTGGTTTATCCTCCTGAGCCGTTATGTAGTTTATTCCAAACTATCATATTCGTTCTATTTGGACATTTTTCCCCCGCTAGTTTGGTTATAAAGCTAACAGTGTACAGGGACAGGGAAGATGTGCTAGGGTTGCCAGCTCCTGATTACAGCTAACACAAAAGGCCCAGAACTGACCAACAAAAGAACTGACACGTCCAGAGTCTTGAAAAGAAGACAATACATAATCAACTTTGGTGTCAACGAAAACCACAAAGAACAAGCAGTACACCTTATAATGCACCTATGTATGGCCACGGTGCACAGGCATCTGTTGACAAATCTTATCCATCGGTTCCAACAACTTCCCCTTCTCCTGGTCCTTCAGCATTACCTCCATTGCTGCACAAAATATAAAATACTTGTAAAATACATCTTCTGTTGCTTTGGCATCTTCATCTCCATTGCCATCTTGTCACGCACATTCCAAATTCCCAGGCTACTGCTGAAAAGCAGAAGATCATCACCTTTCTGTTTGACCTGCTAGGCTGTTACTACACATAATGTAGTGTCTAAAGAAGTCTCCAATGTTGTTTGGGGACCCTGTCCCTGGACATGCTGATCCAGACTTAGTTGGCAAGCAAAAGGTTAAAACAAGATCTGTTTCACTTCTTCTTCCAATCCACATAAGCTGCATTTCGCTGAACCCTTCCACTTCTCAATCTGCCCCACATCAGCTGGCTATCTGTTCCGAATAACTTACCAAAGAAAAATCGATATGCACACTTGTGAGGGTTCTACTTTAGTCTAAACTATGAATGATGATAACATTGTAAGCATGATGCAATATCGTTGCTTTCATCTGGTTTGCACAGTTCAGGTTGAGTTCAGCTATAGATGACAATGTTTTGAGCATGCATTATTCATTTAATATAAGCTGACAGTAAGCATATTCATTGACTTAAAATGTTTCTAGCTTCAGGTCAGCTGAGATTTAACTTGCATTGATTGGTTAGTAGTAACCAGTTCTTTAGTGAGACTTAATGATTGTCGGATACTACAGTTCCTGTGCCAGCTTCTCTGTCTCTAGCAAGTGGTAATGAACAACACGACATCTTCTCTGGTCGTAGGTCGGTATGGCTTGCTGTATTAAAAAAAAACCTTTGTTAAAAACTTAAAACGGTTTATGTAAAACTAAATGTTACGTCTTGAAAATTCTTGTAGCAGCATGTTCTATAGACAATTGGTTTTCCAAGTTCCAACACACTTACTGATTTTGTGTGCTGCCACTTATTAATTACTCCCTCTGTCCCATAATAAGTGACTCAAGTTTGTGCTAACTTTGTATTAAACCTAGTATAAACTTGTCACTTATTTTGCGACAGAGGGAGTATAATGTTAGGAATGCACAATTAGTGTGGTAGGTACGCAGATCATATTTATTTTATAGGAAGATTGGGTCCATGCTGCTGCAGAGTTTGAGAAGTATATAAATAGCACACCAAAAATTCTACTCTACTGTAGTGTCATTCTGTGACAAAGTACGAAGACCTTTTTCTAAAAAATTCATTATCACTTTGGTTTGTTTTCTTTGGCATGTGTTCCCAATGTTTGCGGAATACATAACAATTTCGTTAGTATGAGCACTAAAGAAACTCAGAAAGGGTTTACCAGCTTTAAGAGAACAATGCCATGATGACTGCTGTGCCATTTCCCCCTAGTTTCCCTTTATTCTATTCACTTACATATTTTCTTTTTGCTTCATTTCTCGCAATCACAAGTTTGCAGCAACCCATCCTTCCCAATTCTAGCTATCAACCTATCACCACCTTTTCTTTCATCTAGTTACACTGTCCTTGACTCCTTTGCCATCCCACCACGAGGTTGTAGGAATGAGGAGACACATGTTGTAGCCTGCTTCAACTGTTGTA